TAAAAATGCAAGAGATTCAACTCCAATTTTGTATAAAGATGGCCTAATTACTAATTTTCCAAGAGAACATGCAGTGCACGGAAAATCACTTGATTGTGGAATCTTGACATTAGTTAATGAATGTCCAAGTGAATTTTCAATAATTTTGTGCATCATATTGCTGCCTGGATGACCTAAACGGTCATGCCACAACATAAAAGAATTGTGGTCATAAATTTTAGATACCACATTTATCTCAATTGTACTAATATATGTATAATACAGTCCCGATGAATATGCTGGCATTTTTTCAAAAATGTATTTATTGCCAGATCTATTTGTCGTTAGACATAAATATTTCTTCTGATTTTCAGTCATGGTTTCAATATGAAAACCATTTAGACGCATATCTTTAAAACTCAAAAGATTTCTCCGTGATTTACTTGAGTATAAAGCGTCTTTAATTATTAATTTTGTCCCTTTTGGCAGAATCACACAGGCTATTCCGGAACCTTCAATGAGTTTAGCAACACCTGCGATTGTATTGACATTAGCATCAACTAATGTCATATGAGAAAAAGAATCTCTATGTCTCAAAATGGTGTGCGTTGTGGTACTGTCTATTAGACATTGTTCAGAGCACTTGGAAAATTTTTAGTTAACTTCATATTTGATGGGAAGATGATGATTTCAGGGATTTGGAGCAAATTCGTGTTGATAACATGTTATAGAGTGGAAGAAAATACGCAGAAGATCAGGGAGAGAAAGTATAGTATGAACACTTAGCATTGTGATTTCTGGATTATCTTGATAATGATAATAATGACCTATTAATCATGAATAGTTAGGAGATGACTAATTCATTATATTTCAAAAGACTACTTCTTTTTCTTTTTTATTTGTTTTCCCACTTTTATAAAATAAAACTAGCTTTTGCTTGTGCAAGGCGCAAGAGCTTTTGCCCAATATTAAAGTCAAATCTCTTTTTTTAAGAGACTACTTTATGTGAGATTGTTACGGGGATTTTAAAAAAGTCCATGAAATTATACTATACTTTTGATGAAATAATACTCATACCAATATTTTTATCCAAGGCTCATTTCATAATGGTGTTCAACGTAAAAAATACACTCATACCCCTATTGTTCATCTTACGGAGCACTATATGTTAGACTCAGTCTCATTAATAAAAACGAGTAGGGGTACCTTCTATATTTTAGCTCAAAGGTGACAATAATATGAAGTTATATCATTTTCTCAAAATTTAGTACTCAATTTGTCCCAATATGAACTTCCAATAACAATTGTGTGGTGAAGTGTTCCGCATAGGCGCATAGGCGAGAGATGTAAAACATATTATGAACCATGAGTTTGTTTTTTTTTCAAAAAGGAAATTTGATAGGATGAACGGAAAAGGGAAATTGAAAGATTAATACTACGTATGAGACAGAGGGAGTTATTAATTTCTAATATACTATACATATTCATTATTGTTTTACTTGTGCTTTAAAAAATGAAAATATTATACAAATATAACCACTTTAAATCCCACTAACTAAAATAGGACCTTTTGCCTTATTTTACTCTCAGGCTCTTGAATGTATTCCCTTATTCATAGTCACTTTTTTGTAACCTCAAATACTTTAATTTGGTAATATTTATGTAAAAAAAACTCAAACAAAAAATCACTTGTTAATTTATTGTTACACACCATCCCTGCTTTGTAAGAATTGGCCTTAGATAAACTCTAGATTAAATTATTAGTCCAAAAACCATAAATTGTACATATTGTCAACGTTGTTCAAAAGGAAAAGAGATTCAACTATTAGTTGTTAGTAAAATAAAAATAAACCAATTAAGTTGTATGCCGTTAATCACTTAATCATCACTAAGTTGGCAAGGCAAGGAGGAGCTACAGTGCTAATCACTTAATGCACTAACGGAAGTTAAGGTCAAAAAAGTTTGAAAAGCAAGGTTTCACTTTTTAAAAGTAATGTACAATTTGTTAAGCATAAAATGTGTTGACACAAATTAAGAGTACTAACGCTCATTCATAATTATATAATGTTGTTAGAGAAGGCTTTGGACTGAGTAATGTTCCGAACGTAGTCATGGATCGGCGCCGCGCAACCGCCTCACGTTTAAGTTTCACCGATGAATAAAATTTATAAATGAAATAAAACTTTTAGCCACACTATTTATTCTTATCCTCGAAGCTAGCCCGAATAATTGTCCACCCAAATAAAGATATATGTACGCGTATTTGTTCTCCATGATTATTTTTGTCATCAAGTGGAAACTGGAAACCAATATGTTTTGGACTTATTCATGTTGTCGAGCCAAAAATATAGTTAAGTATTTTTACCATTGCGAAATAATTAAGTTAATATGGAGCATTAGAATTTTGTTTACTTATAACTAGTAACATATGAAAACTCACATATGATTTTTTTTACCTACTATATTATCATTTTCTTTTTTATTTGAGAAGTAAAAAATTGAATATAGCTTATTAGTGTCGAAGTTCATTATGCTTGAAAGAACATAAGATTATGTAGGGGCGGTCCGATTCTTATTACGTAGTACTTTATTAGTGTACTCATGGCCGGGATGGGTTTGTCCCATTCTCAATTCTGGTTTTCTTTTAAATGATAATTCTAAAATTCGACCTACCCAAAATCAGGCCGGCTAATAAGCAAATCTAGAATTAAGGAATATAAACAAGACTCTAAGCTAGCATTTGTTAATTTAGAATGTTTTCAAATTTCAATTGGATTGTTTTAGAATGTTTTTACTTCAATCATTTCCGCCTCAGACCAGGCCAGATTAGTTCAGACTATATTAGATCAAACTTGGATAGTTATAAATGCAAAGAGACCAGACATTTATCAGACCGGATCAGATCAGAGAAGACCAGCAAATTCCATCCAAGTAAAAATATCCTAAGTCCGAAACTGGATTATACTACACAAATCAGGCCAGTCTACACCAAATCAATCTTTGATAATTGTAAAATACACATAGAACATACGTTTAGCATAACAAATTAGATTAATCCATATCTAAACGAACTTAAATATATTAGACTAGATTAGATTAAATCAGACCGGACTAGATTTGATTAAAAACATCTTCCCTAATGCAAGGTATCGCTATTCTTTTGACAATTGGCACCAAGATTTGAGCGATTCAGAACCAGTATCTTCATTTCACTTGATCAACTGGATATCAATTTTTGTACAAGAGCAAATGGGACCCTCAAATTTATTTCATATCTTTTGTATTTGACTAAAAAACTTTTAGACATGAAGCATTGATGGACTATCATGGATTAATGGCAATAAAATATACAGGATACTATATGTATGTGATACTCATTGTCCCAAATATAAGGGCCACTAATTTAAGAGCTGCCTTTAATACATAAATAAATCTCCCACATTTTTAACTGTTGTTTTAGGTTTTTATTTATATACATATACATTAATAATTCAATCAAGTATTACATTTTTGTGCTTTTCAAATATTTTATTGTTTGTCTTCCTCTTTCTCTAGATACTTTTTTTTTATAACTTTGGTATTTTATGCTGACTCATGTCTGAGGACTTCAAACTCTTCTGTTGGGATGTTAATGTTGTTGTTAACATACAACTGTATTGTAAATAAAACAATTACAACTACGGAGTATAATTCTTCTAAGCTATGCCTGGACTCGGGCCGGTTCGGGCCCGGTTCGGGCCTGGGCCCGGCCGGGCCTCGGGCCAGGAAAGGGAGGCCCGAGCCCGAACCGCCGGTGGCCGGTTCCGGTCCCGGTTCCGGGCCAAACCGGGCCGGGCCGGGCCGGGCCGAACCGGCCCAATAATTTTTTATTTTTTTTGTTCTCCTATTTAATCCCCTACCCCTCCCCCTCAACCCCAAACCATCCCAAACCACCTCAAATGGTCCAAAATACCTAATCCAACCTAAAACTTAAAAAAATTTCAAAAAAAAAAAAAAAAAAAATTAAAATCCGGCCCGGACCGGGCCCGAACCGGCCGGGCCGGTTCACCAAAACCTGGGCCCGGGCCCGAACCGCCCAGCAGCCGGGCCGGGCCGAACCGAACCGAGGGACCCACCGGGCCCCGGGCCGGGCCGGGCCAAACAGTAACCGGGCCGGGCCGGTTCCGGGCCGCCCGGCCCGAGTCCAGCACTATTCTAAGCTAAGCTTTTGTGATTTAGTGCCATCAGAAAGATCGGCACAAAATATTACGGAGAAGTAAATAAAATATCTCTCATAATGTCAAGAACAATGTATAAATGTAAACATTGTGATTGATATATTATTATCAAAATTATATAAAACCGTAGAAAGAAGAAAAAAGAAATATTAATGATTAATTTTTTGTGTATATCTTTCTAATGTCACATGTACACCGTGCATATTGATATATTGAAAATGTTCATAATATGACTAATTAATTAGCTAACACCAAATATTCCTTTTAAAACTCTTAAATTTTTTATAAAAATAAAAATAAAAAGTGTTGTGTGACACATCTAAGTTATAACGAAGAACTTTCATCGGACCATATTTCTATCACAAATCAAATCAGACTAGATTAGATTACGATAATTATAAAATATACAAAAAAACATATATTTATCAAACCAGAACATAACATGAAATTTCAGTCTAATTGAAAGATGAGATTCGTGGTATACTGAATAGAACGTAGTAATTTATGTGTACCAAACGTTTACAAAAGTGTAACTGTGTAAGGTGATATTTACTCCGTATGTGATTCTTTCTATTTTGAAGGAACTACTACGTAATAAACAAACAAGCACGTAAATAAATAAGCAACAATTGATGTTAGGGTGAATACTGATTATATTATTGGATACAATAACGACAAAACGAAAAAATAAAGTAAATAATAGAGAGGTGTATTACGATAAACATCATTATTGAATTCTCGTTGTGACAACATGGTACAGTCGACTTTCGCATACTCGATATATATATAGGATACCTCTTCTCCAAAATAAAAAAAAATACAATCTCACAGCAGTTGCCACTTCCTCCTCTTTTATTGGGTCCATATTCTCCCATTCAAATCCCAAAACTGTTTCCTTCTGGTTTCTTTTCCAGCCCACAGATAAGAAGATGAATATCCAAAAAATGAAGTTTCTGCTTCTTCCGGCATTAACACTCCTGATGTTATTCCTTCGTAGACATGTGGAAGGAGTAGATGTGAAAATCCAGCAGAAGACATACATCATTCACATGGACAGATCCAACATGCCCTCTGGCTTTGATGATCATCACCACTGGTATGATTCCTCCTTGAAGTCGGTTTCAGACACGGGCAAGATGCTATACTCCTATAGCAATACCATTCATGGCTTCGCTGCACGGCTAACTGCCGAGGAAGCAAGAACGCTTGAGCAGCAGACAGGGGTCATCTCGGTCCACGAAGAGGTCAAATATGAGCTTCACACAACACGGTCACCCTTATTTCTCGGGCTTGATGGCCACATCGAAAGCAAACAATTCATTTCTCTTAATAGTAACAACAGCGTACAGAGTGATGTTGTAGTTGGTGTTATAGACACCGGTGTTTGGCCGGAATCAAAGAGTTTTGATGACACTGGGTTTGGTCCGATTCCCAGAAGCTGGAAAGGGGAGTGCGAGGTGGGCACAAACTTCAAGCCATCAAACTGTAACCGGAAACTCATAGGCGCCAGGTTTTTCTCAAGTGGGTACGAAGCTGCGAACGGACCAATTGACGAGACCATCGAATCCAAGTCACCCAGGGATGATGACGGTCATGGCACGCACACAGTGTCCACAGCGGCCGGATCAACGGTCACCGGAGCGAGCTTCTTCGGTTTTGGATCAGGCGTGGCACGTGGGATGGCCTCAAAAGCAAGGGTTGCAGTATACAAATCATGTTGGGTGGGAGGGTGCTTGAGCAGTGACATATTAGCCGCAATTGATAAAGCAATTGAAGATGGGGTGAACGTACTATCGATGTCATTGGGTGCTTCACTTACAGAATACTATAATGACCCTATAGCAGTCGGAGCATTTGCAGCAACGAGCAGGGGAATCTTTGTCTCCTGCTCGGCGGGAAATGGCGGGCCATACTCAAACAGCCTATCCAATACGGCACCATGGATAACAACTGTGGGTGCGGGTACGATCGATCGTGACTTCCCAACCTATATCAGCCTTGGGAACGGGAAGAAATTTAAAGGCGTATCGCTTTACGGAGGGAGCCCGTTACCCGCTTCCCAAATACCTCTAGTATATGCTGGCGGCGATGGTATATCATCTGATGGAGGAGGACTATGCACAACGAGCAGTCTAATTCGCGCAAAGGTAGCTGGGAAGATTGTGGTGTGTGACAGAGGTGAGAATAGAAGAGCAGAAAAGGGTTTAGTTGTAAAAGATGCAGGTGGTATAGGCATGATTCTAGCAAACACTGACCTTACAGAAGATGATCGGATCGCAGATGCACATGTCATCCCTACAGCAGCTGTGGGTGAGACTGCGGGTGACGCGATAAAGAGCTACATATCTTCCACTCGTAACCCGACAGCCACAATAGGGTTTGGAGAAACAAAATTGGAAGTCCAGCCATCACCGGTTGTGGCAGCATTCAGTTCAAGAGGGCCAAACACAATCACACCTGAAATACTCAAACCGGATTTCATAGCACCAGGGGTTAACATCCTCGCTAGTTGGACCGGCAGAGTCGGACCGACAGGGTTACCTCAAGACAAAAGGCGTGTCAACTTCAATATCGTTTCTGGAACTTCCATGTCATGCCCGCATGTCAGCGGACTGGCTGCACTACTCAAAGCGGCTCATCCAGAATGGACCCCAGCAGCTATAAGATCAGCACTTTTGACTACGGCTTATAGAACATACCAGAATGGGAAATCCATTGAGGATGCGGCAACCGGTATGGAATCAACACCATTTGATCATGGTGCTGGGCATGTAAACCCGGTATCCGCACTTGATCCGGGTCTCATTTACGATATAACGGTTGACGATTATACAAACTTCCTTTGTGCCATAGGATATACCACAAGTATGATCAAGACCGTCACAAAGAAAGACGTGTCATGTGGTGCAAATAAAGAGCACAGAGTAACTGATCTTAATTATCCGTCTTTTGCCGTTCCTCTCGAAACGGCTTGGGGTAAAGGTGGTGCTAAAAATGCAGTGGTCAAGTACACTAGGACACTCACAAATGTGGGCAAACCAGCTACTTACAAGGCCTCAGTCTCTGTTCTGACGAAGTCTGTAAAGATATTAGTTGAACCACAAACTTTGAGTTTTAGTAGACTGAACGAGAAGAAGAACTACACCGTGACATTTATAGCCAGTTCAATGCCATCAGGCACAACTGGCTTTGCTCATCTTGAATGGTTAGATGGAAAACATAATGTCCATAGCCCAATTGCTTTTAGCTGCACATGATGATTCTACTGAACCTATATTGTCATGGAAGAGTCTTGATAATGGTTAGATGGAAAACATAATGTCCATAGCCCAATTGATAATATCATAATACTACCACACAGGAAAAGAGTCTTGATTGTAAAACTGAAATTCAGTATTATATACAAGACTCCTTTTCTGAGTTAGGGTGGGTAATATGCAATAGGTCACTGTTTAGTTCTCGTGCAACCAGACTTTACTTGTATCGTCAAGAAGCTTCTGTACAAAAGTGTCTGTGTTGATTGTATGCTAGATGCTAAAAAGTTCTTACAATTTATTGTTTTTACTTAAGCTTTGTATCTAAGAGCTTGTAGCTTATGATGTGATTTCACATGGAGAGTGTGCTCTTCATAAGGAATACCTAAAACAAGAATATAGCAATTTCTACAAATACTTAAACTAAAGCTTCAACAACTAATGTTTAGGTGATGCAATATTGCAGCAGAGTTGTGCACATGTAGGAAAAATCTGATAATAGAAGAGATCTTTTTGGAAAATTCTTCTATAAAAAGAATGACATCTATTAATAATGCATCTTGATAATATAAATTTGATAATGACAATCATAAGACACGTGTCTCACTGTCTCCTGCTTCAACGTTTACAAATGAGTGATTTTTGCTTGAACCTTAGTATTACAGTATTGAAAGAACATTGAGCAAGAGCAACTTGGAATTGAATACTCCCGGCATGTGTGGGGTTCAGAAAATGCCCTATAAACAAATTCAATCGGATTCATCGATAGAATGACAAACAGGGAGATTATATGTATCCAACTGCCAATATTTGTGTTTAACTCCTTCCCAGATTTCTTCACCTAAACAATCTTTCACTGGTAGTGGTATGAACTGAGTAGAATAACCCATGCTGACAAGTTCCAGAGAAACTAACTGGCAGTAAACAACGTGGAAGAAAGGATTACCTCCACAGAGTCCATTGAAAAATGAGTAGATGCCACCGGGTTTTAATAATTTATGAAGATATTGGTGAAACTCCCTCATATCTTCATAATACTCTCCATAAGTGTCAAAGAATATACCTGATTAGTTCAACCAAAAAGGAAATACTTATTTATTGAAATTTGTACAATCTCATATGGAATGCACGGTGGAGGAGTTACCATCGTAAGATTCAAGTTTTGAAACAACATCCTGCCAACGACCAAAAATGATCTTCACATTTTCCTTCTTGCCCCACCCTTGGTGTATCATGCGATCATAAACCTCAGGGTGAGCTTCAATGATAGTATGTGAAGAAGGTGCATATTGCTGGATTGCAGTATCCACAAGCCCCATGCCAAACCCAATGTTCAAAATGTGACCGCCATTTGAGCAAACTGCCTTTGCATGAGCTTCCATCAAAGGCTTTTCCCAAGCCATCATAACTGCTTTGCTTTCAGCATCCATAATCTTATCCTCACTGAAACTAACCCTGTCTTCCAAATAATCATCAGCAGAGTCCTGGTTCTTATTTCCTCTGGCAATTGTTCCAAGCACCATTTCTGCTTGTAATGCTATGCATACAGCCCAAAAAGGTTAAAGAATTTCTTCCTATTTATAAACTCTTGAGTATACACATAAAGCATATAAATAACAATAGCAGAACAGGGAACACGATGTACCAAGCTCATGGTATATACAAATGATGAAATAAGCATTTTTTTATAACAAAAAGAGTTGTTATCAAATCTGAAATGAGCATCTTTTATATTCGAATGATATTGTAATGAATGAAATATGAGCGGGACAAAATTATAATTTTAATGGAATGATGGAAATGTTAAAGAAAATTACAAAAATACCCAGAAGCAAAATTATATCCTGATGCATGATATAATTTGCTCACCTCAACTGAGATTTATGAATCAGCAACTTCATTTAAGCTTAAATTCCCAAAATAAACTTTAAGGGTGTTCAAGCCAGATAACACATGTAAACAATTTCAACTTTACAAATTTCACTTTTAGGAATTGCAGTTTTGGAAATGACACATTAATTTGAGTTTGGATTACAGTGTAAGAATGAAAATTCCAAGTTATGTGAAGTTCTAACCTGCATTGAGGAGGGCGTCGAAGGCTTCTTGGTGGCCAGCATCCATCGCATAGTCTCCGGCCGACTGATTGGAAGGAGAAAGGGCATTCCAGGGAGCGCCGGCGTCGAGGAGATTCGTCACCACCTGCGCGTGGCCGTGCTTGGCGGCGTGCATGAGTGGATTTAGGCCGTTGCAGTCGAAATATGAGACGTCCGCCCCGGACTCTATTAATGATCTCACTTTGCCCAAGTCTCCCTTTCGAGCTGCCTCGCAGAGAGCTTCCTCGTCAGACATGGCGGCGCGTGCTAGTGACTTCGGGGGATGATGAATCAAAGAGACAAAGATAGAAGAAACCAGGTAAAATGGTAAAACGTTGAAACTGAACAAAGCTAATTAAATCCTTGCGTCTGTCATCAAAAGTTTGAAAGTAAAACTCAAAAGAGTCGACACTTCGTGAGTTCGTGTTACACAGTTTTTCCACAAATAATGCTAATTAAATAAATAACTCTCAAAATATTGTTGGGTTAAAAATAATTCTCAAAATATTTTTGGGTTAACAGTGGTTAAGAAGAGCCTCCACTTGAAGTAGCGGCTCTTCTCTTACAGTACAAAAGCCGTCACTTCAAGTGGCGGCTCTTCTCTTACAGCACATTTTGTACATATATAAAACGCAGTATGTTTCAAGAATTTTTTTAACTATCTTCCCGATTGAATTTTGAGCTCAAATTTTGTATGAATAAACTAGACTTGATGAGGAACATGCTCAAAAACATTTCATCAAAAAATTCCACTGGGAAGACCCTCTGATGGTGTTGTCTGCACGGGGGTTCCGGTCAGGACGTCGTGACAGGAATAGGACATTTTTATGAAATTTGAGGTGCTTCCGAGTTGATTTTGTTGATGACATTTGGTGATCATGTACTTTCTAAAGTGTATGTTATGTTCACCGAATTTCAGATTAAATTTAAATCAAGAAGTTAGTTAAATTATTTATTGAAAAAACATGCATTTTTAGGTCTAAAAAATTGTGCAAATTTTCAAAAAAATTGTTTAACTAACTTCCCAATTGAAAGAAACCAACTTCAGATTCGAGCTATCACCGCCATCATTATGCCCTTAACAAACAATTCTTTCTCTTCCACTTGCTAAATAAATATGAACTCTATTTGGGCAGTTTATGGCAATTGGAAACAGTTTCAACACTCGTATAAACTATTGCTCTAAGTTCCAATTGCAGAAACACAGTTTTGCGCAATTCACTTGAGCTCATGTTTGGAAGGCAATAGTAAATTCAAGTTCTGTCATCTATAGAAGCATGTGTAATCCTACAACATACAAACTATTGATAGAAATGCTCAAAGTAATGTAAAAATGAAAATGCATATCATATACAACACATGCAGCTAAAACATGATGACTTATGGGTAAATTATCAACAAATTTGAAACAATAAGAAATTATAAAATATTGCTTCCGGGAAATAACATACCAAACAATTTAGTTGCATAATTTCTAAAATTTTCTTGGCAAAAATTTTGTCTCATGTCTTCTGAAAATGTTCATGTAAAGTAGGTCTAAAAGTTGCAATTTTAGGCCTATTTCATTTGAGCTATTTCCCGGTCGCATTTGTTGATAAAATTTGGTGAGCATGTTCCCATGTAATGTCGATATGTCCACCAAATTTTAGATTGAAATTCAATCGGCAAGTTAGTTAAATAAATTTTTAAAAAATGCATAATTTTTTCGGCCTAAAAATGCAGCTTTTTTCAATAAATAATTTAACTAATTTCTGATTTAATTTTAATCTGAAATTCAGTGGACATAACCTACACTTTAGGATGAACACGATCACCAAATTTTATCAAACAACTTGACTCAGAAGCCCCTCAAATTTCATAAAAATGTCTTATTTCTGTCACAACGTCCTGACTGGAACCCCCGTGCGGAAAACACCATCAGAGGGTCTTCCCGGTGAAATTTTTCGAGAAATATTCAGTTCACCTATGGCGTCCTTGGATAATATATCATCATACTAAAATCTGAGATTCAATTAAGTTTTATCACTGACTCATTTATAGCTGACAACTTTTAGAACACGTTTACTTCACGGGTTACCAAACGGTGTTTATTAAAACAGGCATTAATAAGTGGCGCATAATTAAGCAGTGTTGTAATAAGAACATGTTTACTTCAAAAGATTTAAAACACCCCTTTAACATTAAAATGTCCAAAATAACTCTATGCATATATAGACACATAAACAATCATGAACACAAGTACATAATATAATATGTGGAGGTACCCTAACCCCTACCCCACCCTACCCTACCCCCACAACCTTAACCCCAACCTTTTCCTTACCCCTACTCTAACCACGACCTTACCCTTTGCCCCTATTCCCCTCGTAACCCCTACCTGTTAGGGGTGGGGTCGGGGTCGAGGTAGGGGCATGTGGTATGGGGTAAAGGGGTAGGGTAAGAGGGGTTGGTTAGGGGTGGTAAGGGCTAGGGGTTAAGGTCGGTGGGGGGATGGGGTCGAGGTAGGGGCAGGTGGATGGTAGGGGTAAAAGGGTGGGGTCGGAGTAGGGAAGAGGTACGAGGTGGGGTGGAGGTGGGGTAAGTAGGGTAGGATGGGTAGGGGTCAGGTGGGATCGAGTTAGAGGAAGGTAGTAAGGGGTAAAGGGGTAGGGGGTAGGTAAGGGGCTGGGGCGGAATGGGTTGGGGGTAGGTTGGGGGATGGGGTCAGGGTGGAGTAGTATGGACCCGGGCTGGGCCGGTTTTGGTTCGGGCCTCGACCCGGGCTGGGCCGGTTTTGGTTCGGGCCTCGACCCGGCCGATCTTTTTTTTTGGGGAAGGGAGAACCGGTCTGGGTAAGCAACGGTTCCGGGCCGGTTCCGGCATTTATTTATTGTTAGAAAATCATTATACTCATCAACAAAAGCAACTCGGATGCACCTCAAATTTCATAAAAATGTCCTATTCATGTTACGACGTTCTGACCGGAACCCCCGTGCAGACAACACCATTAGAGGGTCTTCTCAGTGGAATTTTTTGATGAAATGTTTTTGAGCATGTTTCTCATCAAGTCTAGTCTATTCATACAAAATCTCAGCTCAAAATTCAATCGGGAAGATAGTTTAAAAAATTCTTGAAACATATTGCGTTTTATATATGTACAAAATGTGCTATAAGAGAAGAGCCACCATTTGATGTGGCGGCTTTTGTACTGTAAGAGAAGAGCCGCCACTTGAAGTGGCGGCTTTTGTACTGTAAGAGAAGAGCCTCCACTTCAAGTGGTGGCTTTTCTTAACCACGGTTAACCCAGCAGTATTTTGGGAATTATTTTTAACCCAACAGTATTTTGGGAATTATTTATTTAATTAGCATTATTTCGGGAAAAAACACGCTGCTCAAATTGTTTGTATATAGACAATTTAATCGGTGTTTTATGAAGAAAATCAATTTTCACACAGACAAAAATTAAAAGTTGTATGTATCACAAACATTTTAGACGAGATTTTTTCATAAAATGTTTGTGATACAGCCATTTTTAACCAGAATTTTAAAATGTCTATGATACAAACAATTTTTTTTACTTTTGTTTGTGTGAAAATTGGTTTATTCATAAAATGCCAGTCAATTTGTTTGTACACAGACAATTTGACCGACGAGTAACCCGGCGTGTAAAATGTGACGTGTACAAAGGGAATTTTCCAACTCAAAACTATCAAAACCCCATTTTTTTTATTAAAAACCACGTTTTATAAAAAGGAAAAATTGAAAATAATAATCCCAACTATTGTCGGTCTGCTGATAATAATCCTAACTATTGATTATTTTTGTATAATCCCAACTATATGGACCGTCCGCTAATAATGGTCCATGACAAGATATTACCTCCTATAACAAATGAATTTTAAATAGAAGTTAAGCGTAAAAATTAAAAGTTGAGATTATTTATCGGGATTACTTGCTGTATCTCTTCTTATCCACTTTAGAAACTACAAGAATTTATTTATAGGGAACATTATTGGCGGATGGTCCATAAAGTTGGGATTATTCTGAAATAATCGATAGTTGGGATTATTATGAGCAGACCATCAATAGTTGGGATTATTACTATCAATTTTTTCTATAAAAAAACTCTCAAAAAAAAGGATATCGAAACCCAATGTTAATTACTCATGTGATTTATTCCAAGTAGATCAATTGTTGATAACATTATGATTGCCTTTGAGACTCAGGATTACGTGAAAAGAAAGAGGTTTGGCAAGGACGATTATATGGCTCTGAAGCTTGATATGAATAAGGCATATGATCGGGTGGAGTGGTCGTTCCTAAAAAATATGAAGAATATGGTGTTTGATGGTTGTCACGCCCCAGACCGCATCCATGCGCGTGTACAATCGTCGCATAGTCAAGTGACGTCACCCACGGATCACACTCACCTGACTATACAAGGATTCCATGAACATAATTCATACCATACTTAGTAAGTAAACATACATAACAACATCCCGCTTAGATTGAATGAATATCGGAAATATTCAAAAGTCAATCATGGGCGACATATGACAAAACGTGAGCTCGCAGATCCAAAACAAAGTATTTATTTCAAAATATCCATTAGCATAGTTTATAGTTTTAAAACGGTAAAGGAAGCATGAACCACGTCTTTCTTGAGATCAATTCACCCGTGTAAAGGTGCATGTAGCAAACCCTAGCTTCAACCTTAAAATGGTGGTGTGGTGGTGGTGGGGGGGGGGGGGTCAACATGCTAAATGTAGAATAACTAACGTTTCAAGTATAAGACCCAAACATTGGATGACACATTTACTTATATTCTTTCTCCAAGTCTTGAAATACATATCAATATATACACTTGGAAAATACTCGACCCATATGCCATTGTATATGATGATGTGGAAAAAATTAATGGGATTGAGTATAAAACAGGACACATAAGCAGTTAACGTGATTCCCATGTCATTGGCAGGTCATTTGACTCGTATGACACTTAAAATAGTAAGTGTATGGTTGTGACACTTTTGTTAGTAGATGAGTTTATGTGACAGTTTTATAATAAGGGAAAGTTCCCAAAATAGGACTAAAGCAAGGAATAAAGGTCAAATTGGGCACTGTGGTTATATGAGAATCTCATATTGGATACTAATGTTTCAAATGGACCAAATTGGACACTGATTACTTGTTTATCTCATATTTGACATTAAAGTTTCAAATGTATCAAATTTAACGTTTTTGTGATCATTTTTGGACACCCACCAAAGATTTTCACCTTTGAAAGCTATAAGTATCGTTTTCTTTTGTTTTAGGCACCAAATAATATAAATAAATTAATTCGTGAATTTACATTTGGAATATATAATTAAATGTTCCAATTAAGAAAATTTATTATAATGTAATAGAATTATTTAATTGTTGAGGTTTATTCCTTCAACCCCCGGGTCCAACACGTAAGCCCAAGGATTTCGAATGGAGTGTGTGTGATTAAACTAGCCCAACAAGCAGATGATATGGTTTAGAAAAGCAAGAAAGTAGCAAGTAAGTGATTAGGTATTATTATCTCTTAATAACTCCCTAATACAATACTTTTCGCTAAGGCTCCGTCGGCCGTTCGTCTTACAAGGCAGTAGAAGTACTGTGAGTAAGAATGCTGTAGCTAGAGTGCTAAGAATAGAAAGTTGCCAACCCTTTACAATGAAATAAATGCTACTATTTATACCCGCCAATGGGCAGTTAGTCCTGACGACGTGGAGGATTGTTAGTGGCTGTGGCCCAACCACCAAATCTTCAGCATTAAATGCGCTTCCCGCCAGAATCTGGGTTCCCCGCTTAATTCCTGACCACGATCGCCTGGTAGAACGGAAGGCCGTTCGTCTACGGCCCTTTGTAGGATGTAACAATCTTCTGGACCTGGGCCATCTACGGAGATGGGCCTCGGATGACGACGCTCGTCTTGGATGTGCTAACCGACCCTCGACCGGGACCTTGTGCTGTTATCCCGGAGATAGACATTCGTCCTCATTCCTTTAGGCCAGGGCCACCCGTGGGCTAGGCGACGTACGTCGGTTTGGGGGTAATTGGGCCGAACCCCTGTTTGGGCCATTTACCCAACATTAATATTGTTAGATCAATTTAATAAATCGACATTTTTAAAGTTCAATATTAATTGAAAAGTCCTAGATATATTTTTAAATTGTTGAATATAAGAAGTTATTAATTAAAATCAAATTATATTTTATGAAACCTCAAATTTGTTATTCCAAAATTATATCATAATTAAATTAGTTTATTTTCACTAAAAGGAAAGAAAATATAAGACTAACAATTTTTATTAGGGAAAAGTAAATCATAAGTGAGTGTTCAAAAATTATGAATTATGAAACTTTAGTATCCAATTTGAGACACATATGTAACCATAATGTCCAATTTGATCCATTCGAAGCCTTAATGTCCAATATGAATTTCTCATATAATCATGGTGTCCAATTTGAGCCATCCCCTAAAACAATGCTCCATCCGTCCCATTGAACAAATTCCAAGTCAGTAATGCAATCTGATTCTAATTTCAAGTCAATAATTTCATCTCAAACCTATTAAACTAATCGAGAGTATAAACATGACAATGAACACTACTCAAAACCACAACCAAACTCCAGTCCGTAAAGCATTCTGATTAAACTGATTGAGAGTATAAAGATGTCAATGAATAATATATGAAAAGCACATTCAAATTCCAATTCAGTAATGCATTTCTTATTTTAATTTGAAGTCAATAATTCCGTCTTAAACATACTAAACTGTCTGACAGTATAAAATGACAATGAACAATATATGAAAACCAAAATCAAATTCCAAGTTAATAATGCGTTGTGATTCTAATTTCAAGTCAATAATTTCGTTGCAAACATACAAAACTGACTGAGAGTATGAAATCACAATGAAGAATACATGAAAACGTCATTCATATAGCAAGTCAGTAATAAATTTCTGATAGTAATTTGAAGTCAGTAATTACGATTCAAACATCATAAAGTAAACGAAATTGCATATTCGGTTTCTATTGTAGTCATTATTTCAATTTCTCAAAAAAAATAAAAATTAGACAAAAGAGTAAGTAGAGAAAATACCTTGCTAGATGGAAGAACCTCTTCTTTGTCTTGCTCCTTCTTTGTTTGTTTTTCATTGGTTGTTTCCCTCTTCTCCTTCGTCTCAAAATCACTGTCTGAAACTTTATTATCGGTTAATTGTTTGTCTTCATTTCCGTCATCTGACCTCTTCTTTCGCTTCGCCATGCTTGTTATGCGCCTGTGTTCTTCACTTTGCTATACTTTTCTTCAATTGTACCTTGATTGCGCTCAAAGCTCGACTGTTTTATCGTCTTCAACCTTTTGTTCTTCCATAGCGATTGAACTATTAACCGTTGGGGGAAGAAGCTTTTGTTTTAAATGATTTTCGGAAAGGTTTGGATAGGAGATAGTTTTTTTGGGAACAGGTGAAAGATGGCACGTGGATCGGCCGGTTGTCTGTAGCTTTTAATTGAGGTTAATTTTGTCAATCTATCCTAATTTAGGTCTTACAAGTTTGGGTTGTCTTGTTTTTGGAAATGTGGAGACTTAAGGTCCTGTTGGTAAAGTTTTCCCTTTTTACGGAGTATTTTTTACCACTCTCTATCTACAGACAAATTTAAGTGGCCTATTCAGCTCTCACACTTTGCTCTTTGAAGATCTACTCTGTAAGATGGGTTATCCCGCCTAGGGTTCCCAGAGCTTCGATTATCATATTGGGAGTATTTCCAGAAGTCCAATCACAGTCTCACGGATGTAGGATGCCGCAGAGTTAAGATTAAAATTGCAAGGAGTCATAACCAAACACCTCAGCGGCTTCTCCATGGCCTTTCTATTTAACAAATTTCAAGAGGTTACGCCCCATCCTCCCCTCCGCCGAGAATTTTTATGCCTTTTCTGAAATTTCAAATTTTGATATACTTGCAAATCTCAGCATTTTGGCATTTTCAAATTTCATTTGGTACTGGCGTGCCCATGTTTTACTCTGGAAATGACAATAGAAATGGGGCATCTCAAACATCATTTTGTACTGAAATTTCCATCCTTTTGATATAATTTTAGGCCGTCAAGGTGCTTGCTAAAAGCCCCACAGTTTCAAGAGACCCGAGACATTTTCAGTTCCAGTCGGATATAAACCGCCTTTTCCTATATACTTGGTAAGCAGGAGACATTAGTGGACTGTCGAGTTTGAAATTTATTCAAAAGTTTGTTCAGCTAATAAGTGATACTGTATACGTGTATTTAGTTTGTTGGAGAAAATTTCACTATTTGACCTTACATAAACTTTCATAATTTGATTATTTTCTGTTTGTCCTTGCTAGAAAAGTATAAAATGATCATTGAAGCAATCACGTATCTTTTCATGAAGGTGTAATCAGATTTATCTTCAATAGCATCTAGGTAGACATTCTCATCATGAAGGTTGAGCTTACTAATAGATACTAAAATGAGTTGACAACAATAAAAGAACAGAAGAGATATGAAGAAGACATTTACAACATGGGTTTTGATATGTGATTTTATATTTGCAGTAACTACTGACTAGTATCCAGTTTTTTCTTTCATTTTTTGCATATGGAAGATGACAAAGGTCAAGCTTCAACATGCCTCACTGTCACTTTTGTTCTAAGACTCTTCATTGTGTCTATTATTACTCATAATTTTTTATATTCCATCAGTCCCTCTCCCAAAAGAGTCATGGTTCGTATACATTTTTGTCCAAGAAAGAGTCTTGTTTGATAAACAAAGCGTATTTCTGATGTATGCTGGCATGTGTGGAGTGAAGAATTGATGACTCAAATTCATAGGTTCTACATTTTATGCTCTCACTTCTCATCATAATACCTTATTTTCAGCCATCACCGTCTGGGGAAGGGTGCTGATGAAAAAGATGTAGAAGAGATAATTGATATGGCTAGCAACGCCCCACTAGTTGATCAGCAAAAGCAGGTTCAAGAAAATGTTCATTCTCAAATTAAAACCTTTTGTACCTGTATGGATGAAATACTATTGCCTGATGTAAAGAGCCATGTTGAGCCTCACTCACCCTCTGAATGTAGTAGCCCTCCTCGTCGCGGCGGTCTTAGTCTTGCTGTTGGTGGAAGTTCTCCGTTGAATAATTGCTCTGGTAAGCACTATTCTATCATTTCATTCTTCACACAGGCTCTTTTTGCATGTGTGAGTGTGTGTGGTTTGTATCAGAGTATTAGACTATCAGAAGAGTAAAACTGATAATCAATTTTCATGTAATTTTACCTATCATACCCTTTCAGTGGGTAATATTTATTGAAAACCATGTAGAGAATACATTCATATTTAAGACCTCTTCCTTTTAACCTCTTTGCTTATTGGTAATAAGCACTTCAACCTTTGATACCAAAGACTGCATCTTTTCTTGATTATGTAATACGTAGTAATATTAACAGCCAGTAAGTTATATAGAAATGGTCAATTTAGTTGAATGGACTAATATCAGATGCATTCATAATTGATGGGCTAAGGGGAGTTCTATAAACCCTGTTTTTATGCTTAGTACTCATTTATATTAATGAGACACCAAAAGCATTCTGATCAAACTACACCATACTACAAACATCCAGATGAACCAGTATAGAAATATTCAGACCAAACCTTATTAGAAACATTCAGACCAGACCAGAAACATCCAGACCAGATAAGAAAGGTTCTCAATAACACCTAAGATTCAGACCAGATCTTAAAAGCTCATAACATATCTCGTCTTTCCGAAAAAGCGAACGGATCATGAAGTCAGAAATGATTAGTAATTTACCTATACAAAGTTATCCACTATTAGACCCTGTGTCGTGGACTCTGTCCATATTTTACATCATTACTTATGGGGGGACTAATGGTTTCTAAACTTTGGTAGTCAAGTGACGATTGTAATCACTGTTAAAGTATAGCGGTTGAAATATTGTAATCCCAATTTTTTTACTGTGTTCTTTCCAAGTTGTTATTATGTTTCTCTTCTCCAGTGTTTCCACGTTATAAATGACTATGAATTGGACATTTTGAATTATTTAGTTGGTAATTACTATACTATGATCTTTTAAAATTTTCACCCCAACAGTTAGCAAACGTGATTAACATTTTCCCAGAATCCCATTAGGAGAATTGAAATGATCTTGCCTGGTGAACAAGTCACATTTGTGCTGCATCTGAAATTAGATAAAGACCTCGAAACTCTTCTTTGACTGTTTGGAACTTTGGATATACATTTTGTTGTGAGATGCTCTGTAATTAAATTTATCCGACATCAACAAATCACCTTCTAGCCCTACAAATACCCACTCCTCCTTCCCATATTACACTCTTGTCATCCTCTAAAGGAATCATATACTGTGCTGCACTGTGCTGCTCAGATAATCTTTCATCCTCTCAAGCAGAGACTGCATTGTAAAAGAAAAGGAAATATTTACTTCGTTACACTTTGATCCTGTGGTGGATTCAATTTGTAGGAATAAATGGGACTTTGCTTTCTTTGGTTACATTTTAAACTCATAAAAATAAACACACAATCTAACAAGGTCATTTCACATTTAATTAAATGTCCTCGCTTTATTTATTTTCATGCGACCTCTTCAGACTTTTGCGATGAAACAGAAATTATGTGGGGGTCAAGTGAAACAAAGTTGACTTCCAGAGGTTGTATGAGACAACCGTTATTAGGTGATATGGTGACTAGATAGCTCCTCTAATCTAACCGCACACGTATTTGCATGCAGTACAGCTGTTCCTCAAACCAAGGGTCTAAAGCGTGCAGAGGTTTCTCAGAGCTTAAGGGAGCTAATTGGCTACACTCTTGAAGTAAAACCTTCTCAAATTCTTCATGAAAATGCTGGCCAAGGTTTATTTTTGAACGGGGAAGCTGATCTTGGTACTGTTATAGCATTCTATCCTGGTGTGGTCTACTCTCCTGCATATTACCGTTACATTCCCGGATATCCAAGAGTTGATGCTCATAATCCGTACTTGATCAGCAGGTATGATGGGGCAGTGATCAACGCAAAGCCCTGGGGTGCTGGTGGTGAAGCTCGTGAAATGTGGGATGGGTCACAGACAATGTCTCCTCCTGTTAAAGATGAAACTGGGTCTGACCGAATCTGGGCAATGCTTAGTAAACCATTGCATGCCTCAAGTGGCTCGGGACATAAAGTAGGCGAAGTGTTGGAGAGGAGAAACCCTTGGGCTTTTGCACATTTTGCTAATCACCCAGCAAAGGACACGGCCCCAAATGTCATGATCTGTTCCTATGATTTTCCCCTTAGTGCTGAAAATGAGGATTTGCGGCCTTACATTCCGAATGTCTCCTTTGGAAATGAGGTGAAGATGAAGAAAGTAGGCAGCTTCTGGTTTAAATCTTGGAAATCAAGTGGTAGTGGGGCAGATCTAGCCGCCCCAGTCCTCAAATCTCTTGTTCTTGTTGCTACTAGACCTATCTGTGATGAGGAAGTGCTATTGAATTACAGATTGAGCAACTCAAAAAAGAAAAGGCCTTCTTGGTATGTTCCGGTTGATGAGGAAGAGGACGAAAGAAGGTGGAGTTAAGGCAAGTACAAAAATTTGTCCTAGCATTGAAAGATGGGGATAAAAAACGTGGCAGCAGTGATGTGTGGGTTTTTTATGGACGTTTTATTTAAACTTGAATGCATACTAAGAAGCTCTTTGAGGTTGAATATTTTTAAAACATACAGTATTAACTTTTCGTCATGGTAATAAATACCGTAGAAATAGCCAAATAGGGGCTTGGCCGGCACCGGCCCAAAACTAAGGGTTCAGGAGTAAAAGTTAATTAATGACCTGAGTTTTTGTAACAAAGTTGTAGCCACTAGCACTAGCTTCTCTATATAGTTTGGCTTAGGCTATGTTTGCGTTGGTGACTTGTGCTTATTACAACAAGTGATTTTTTAAAGAGATTATTGAAAAAGTGATTTATAGTAAAAGTAGATAGTGTTTGTAAATAGAAGTGATTTTAATTAAAAAGTAAAAATTGAAGTGTTTAGTGAAAAAGTGATTTGTGATATAATATATTGATAAAATACAAAAACAACCTTGTAGAGTTGTAGGTGTAAAATTATAAGGAAGATTTCTATCGGTTTTCTTCCATTGAAGGTCTCGTATGTGTGGATCTGGTGTATGGTTGAATGGTTTGAAAACCAAATGTGCATCTTTGGCCATCCTGTTGCTTGTAGCTCGCCGCCGGAAAACGATTTTCAGCATACGAATGATATTGGACAGTACGGAAACCAATTGAGAGAATAAAAACTAAAACATATGAAATCGAATGAATAGGGAAATATATATAAGAGAATTGGCTTCATTAAACTTTAGGTCATAGATGGGGATGGAGATAGTTGGAGACAACATTCGAAAAAGATATAAGGGCAAGTTCGAACATGTATACTACCTCCGCCCCTAAGTTTGGGACAAGAGAAGGTGACACAGTTATTAATAAAAGTGGGTTTATGTGGTTGATATTGAATTGATAAAGTAAGAATAAAGTAGAAATAATTTAGAACCACACAAACTTAACCAAATAAGGTATGTGACAATCTTAGTGAGACAGATCAAAATAGTAAAATGGGACAATTATAACGGGACGGAGGGAGTATAAAATAAGACATAAAGATTTTGCTCAGACTTCAATTTATTTACAACATTACCTAAAAGCAACTAAAAGCATGTGTGGAGCTGATTCATCTTTTTTAACCTAAAAGCACTTAAAATTAAGCAGAATCCAATCTTCACAAACACTGCTTTTAGTTTTTTTCAATGGAAAAGCTTAAAAGCACTTAAAAAACTCAATAACAAACACTGCCTTAATGGACTAGGCCAGACTGACCCATATGTCACTAATAAGATTGGGCCTATACATAGGCTTACAAGAACTCTTTATTGCAATATAAAATACTACTCCTTTTGATCCGTTAATATTGTTCAATTTTACCTTTTTGTGAAATCTCACTGAAATTCTCTCATATCCAATTTAGTAAAGTTTGGTGATTCTAATATCAACCATATAAATCTACTTTTCTTAATAATCATGTCAACGCCTTCCGTCCCAATATTAGTGGGATGGAGGTATCGAGGTAGTATGTAATCAACAGAATGAGTGAACAAAACTTATTACACAAAAATACTATGTATGTAATATTCCATCCGTAACAAAAAAATCTCTCCACTTTCCTTTTTTGTCCGAAAAGAAAAAATCTTTCCATTTGTAAATCTTCCCATTATACCCTTAATAATTTGTAAAATAATACAATATTACAACTATTTTTTTTTATCCTTCATTCCATCAAACTATCTACGTACAAGTTTTTTGGAAAATTCCTTTTTTTACACGCCAAGTTTTACACGCCGGTCAAATTGTCTACAGACAATTTGACCAGCGTTTTATAAACAAAACTGATTTTCATAGAGACAAATAAAAAAATTGCTTGTGTCAAAAACACTATGAAAAATTCCAGACTGAAATATCTGTGATACAGACAACTCTTACTTTTTGTCTTGAAACGCAAGTCAAATTGTTTGTGTGGCCGGTCAAATTGTTTGTACACAGACAATTTGACCGGCGTGTATAGTACCCGACGTGTACACGAGGCGGGAGTCTAAGTTGCAAAAAACACGTAGTATATTATGCCGGCCAGATGGAGTGAATGTTATTGATTGAGCAGCTCCTAGGGACTTGAGTCGGTTTATTTGAAGGGTCGCCTTGATCACCGAACTGCTGATTGATCTTTCGTATACCTCCACATTAAATTCCAAGCAGCGCATAATAATAATAACTACATACATACAATGATACAAGTTTATTAATCATGAAATATAAATACTGGAGGTGTGCATATATGTTGGACAGACCATCATCAAGACCAGCTAGATATATATCATACGTTGTGTATATACAATACAATGTTCAAACTCGATTTGATGCAAGCGTGTGGAGGAAAGTCATGGGATGATGGAGGTTCTGGTCAGGTTGCTGCAATCCTCATTTCCTATTCTGCTTTTGCCATTCACTCTCTACGTTTCCTTTATTTCAAGGACGGATCTTACAAGCTTTCTGAAAATCACGGTAGACTTTCTGGCAGCTCACAGATGATCAGACTAGACTGCCCAACAGAGTTCCTCACTGAGGTGCATGGCTTTCGGAGCATCGCTTTTGGGTCAGTTAGTGATGAATTGTCGTCGATAACATTTGTGACTAACAAATCCACATATGGACCCTTCGGGAAAAGCAAACCGTCATCCTCTGACAGCGACTTCAAATTCCGATTGGCCAGTCGCGGTGATTCCATTAATGGCTTTCACGGAACTATTAACAGTACTTTTGGTTTTGTTGGAAGCATTGGTATTTATTTACAGATCCCAACTCCTGCTTCGCGCCCCAATCTCAAGCTGCTTCATTTCTAAAATTAGAGTAAAAAAGTTTTGAAATTTCAAAATAGGACCACCGTGTTTTTTATTTCTTGAATAAGAGTAAATTTCTGTCAAGTCTGACATTATTAGCCTTTAAAATTTTTGTTGACATGCACAACGCTATCATTATGTAATTCGATGGATATAATGAAAACAAAATGATTTCATGTTTTGTTTCATCATCATTCATTCATATTTTGACTGTCTTATTATTGCCAAAAAAATTTACAGTATTATGTATCCAAACTTGTGAAGCTCTATCAAAAACTTTTTCACTGAACGATAATAAGAAACTTCATTCTCCTGTATTCTCCTGTATTGTCATTCATTACTTTTATAAGTTACCAATTCCGAAATTAGTGCATCCAACTAATAATAATTTATAAAAGGGCCGTTGGGCTAGGCTCAGTTGAGCATTTGGGCTTGAGCTTAATAGGCTGGGCCAGAATTAGTTTGACAAGCCGGGCCAATGGCTTGAGCTAAGTTTCAAATACTCTTCCCATGCCCACCCTTCAAATTGTGGGCCATTCTGACATGTGGCCCTTATGGATCGGGTCAGGCTTTTGACAAATGGAACGGATAGACTGCATGGGTTTAGGGGTGGGCGCGGTCCGGTCCGGTCCAATATTTGATCGAACCCGTATCCGGACCGTTACTATTGAAACGGTTCGGTTCGGTTCGGTCCTAGAGCTAAACCCGTTCGGTACGGTTTCATTTTCAAACGGTTCGGTACCATGTCATACCATACCAAACAATGCCGCTTTTTTTCGACAAATTAAAGCTTAATCATCATCCAAAAATCCACACAATTATCAATTTTCATATTACATAATTAATAAATTTCATATGAGTACAAAACATAAATCACAAAACGTTCATGACAACAACTCTCTAAGCACCATTGGCTTCTCCAGACTCCAACTTCCCACTCAAACACACATAATCAGTGTATTTTTTCCCAATAGAAGCATTATTTTGGGCAGGCGGGTTGGAGTATATTTTTTTAGATGAGCTAAAGTGCTAAACATGTTAAAACTCTACTTATATTTAAAAAGAAATAAGAAAAATTGGGTTAGACTTCACGATTATAAAGATATGTTGCTGCAGGTAGCTTGCAGTGAACTACCAATTAGCAAATTGCAAATGAGTAATCAAAGTAATAATGGTAATATGGTATACATGTATATATAATCATAAATTATTAATTATATAAATTAATAAAATTATAATTCGGTCCGGTCCGGTCCGGGTACCGGTTCTCATTTTATGAGAACCGGTCATGGCATGGTTTCGAACCGGTACGGTACGGTTCGGGATAAAAATTTTGAAAACCGTTTCAAACCCCGTTTTGCGGTCCGGTACCATACCGGTCCGGTTCGGTACCATGTCGGTTCGGTAATTTTGCCCACCCCTACATGGGTTCATGAGTCCCTGATTTAAATGATATCCCTCTACATAGAAATGTCACGTAGGTGCTGTTCTGTTCGTCTTATTCTTATTACTTATTACTTATTCTTATTTTATTCAGATCAGATCAGATCAGATCAGAAAAATTCAGATCAGATCAGATCAGATCAGAAAGATTCAGATCAGATCAGATCAGATCAGAAAGATTCAGATCAGATCAGAAAGATTCAGATCAGATCAGATCAGATCAGAAACATTCAGATCAGATCAGAAACATTCAGATCAGATCAGAAAAGTTCAAACATGATTTATCACTTTTATTATTATATTAATTATTATTGTTAATATTGTTATTACTATTATGATTATTATTATTATATAATTATTATTAATAATATTAATAATAATTTGATAAAAAAAATAAGATATTAATAATAGTTATAATATTTTAATATAATAATAGTAATATAAATGCAATTATTAAGAAGACTATTATTATTATTATTACAATATAATAATAATAATATGATTAATATTATTATAATATTATATTATAATTATATGTAATTATAATTATAATTACAATTAAAATTCTTATAATTATAAGTATAATCAATTGTAATTATTATAATTATATCTGTAATTAATTATAATTATAATTGTAATTAGTTATAATTATAATAATTATAATTACAATTACAATCATAATTATAATTATGATTACAATTATAATTATAATATAATATTATAATAATATAATACTAATTATAATAATAATAATCATATTATTATTATATTATTGTAATAATAATATTAATATAATAATATCGTTATAATAATATTAATTGCATTTATATTACTATTATTATATTATAATATTATAATTAATGTTAATATAATTATAATTATTATTAATTATAATTATAATAATTATAATTATAATTATAATTATATTATAATTATATTTTATGATTATAATAATTATTTTTATTATAATTATTAATATTATTATTATTATTACTATTGTAATTATTTTACGGAGTAATTATAATAATATTGATAACTATAGTTACAATTATAGAGATAAATATTGTAACTATAATTACAAT